TATGATTAAAGGCAGTTTTATTATAATATAACTTCACTATTCATACAATTCCTAGCATCATTTATTTAAAACAAATATTATTAGGGTAAAAAAGCTTGAACCGTAATTCCAGACAAAAAAAGCAGAAAATTGTGCCCGCATAATATTATGGATGGCATTGATGAAAATTACTTTTTTCAGTAAGAACAATGTTGAGCTGACAACTGGTTTTATAGCTTGTTCTTTGTAATTTTTACTTGGTTTTATGAGCCTACATTTTTTAAGCCACACTGTTACTGTTCCTGCAGTTCTATATGATTGTTTACTTTTTTTTTTTTTTTTTTTTTTTTAAGTGCAAAACAATCTTTCTTATTTTCCTGTAAGGTTGTTCCCTCTAGAGGAACATTCATTGCAAACTAGCAGTTGATACAAGGACATAAAGATACTCTAAAGAGAATGACCTCTTTGCAAGTTCAGCATCTGAAACCTGCAGCATCTTGTCTCTTTCTGTGATATATTCTTGCTGTCTGTCTCAGAGCTGGATTTCAAGCTCTCAGAGCTCAAGAATAAAGCAGTGTTGCTCTTCTGTGCAATATAGGAACAAGTTTTAATGTTGAAAGGAACTCTGTGAAATGTTACAGAACTTTTGAATTGAGAGCCACATCTCACAGTGAAACAATTGATAAGCCAGGGACTGGAGAATTTCTGTAGAAGACTTTCAAATTTCATCCCACCTGTAAATGTTGGGGTAAATTAACTCTCTGATTGTCACTTATTGTGCAGTAGTTTATTTATAAGTAGAGTATCATTTCAGAATGAAACTCAGATGTGTTTTTGGAAATGTCTTGAAGGAGAATGGATGGTGAGGGTTGTCTTCTCTCTATTAATTGAGACTAGTCTTCAACTAGAGCCTATTTTTTAATTGGGTATTCTTAAATAATGTAAAACACAGACAAAATAGTAACTGATTATGAATAGTTGAGAGTTCCTGATTGTGTCATAGGCCCCATGAGTGAAGTATAAGGGCCTGTATAATTTTCAAGAGTTAAAATTTGTATTTTTACCTTAAAATATTTTTTTTTTTTGTTTCAATCCGTATTCTTACCTTGGTGGTTCTTTAACCATTCCACTCTACAGCCATTATGTGCACTGTTTTTCAGTAACAACTCACCTCCCACTTCTTCTCAACTGAGCTTTTAAGTATCAATACTGATTGCTTTCTCTCCCTATCAGAGTGCTGTGTAGTACTCAAACTGGTTAAAAATGAGCG